TTATGAGGAGCCAGATTACAAGGTTGGGGTGGAGTGCATACTGGTTTGAGTATACTAGTAACTGGATACAGGTTTGAGTATACCTAGATACCAGTTATACTGGTATACTGAAAACCAGTGTGATTGCTGAAAAACTTGTGGTGCTTTCCAATTTACTTGTCATCTGCACTTATCTATAACACAGTCCATTTAAGCAGTAATAGAAGTTTGAAAGTGATAGTAAATTATAGATTTTTTATTTCAGTGTGTAAGAACATTTAAAATTGAAAAGTTAAAAGCTTCAAGGACAGTCGCAGCCAGAAAGGCAAGTATTATATTCATGTCAGTTTAAATTTGTTGTTGTTATTCTGCTAAGCATATACTGTGAAATACTTTATTTTCGCTGGAATTAATTTTCGCTGAAAAGGCTTTCTGGTTGTTTTGTATGGAATTTATTTTTACTGATTTTTGATGAGTTTAATGTGAAATATAGGAAAAAAAGTATATTCACTGGATTTTATTTTCACGGAATCATCCATTCAGCGAAAATAAATTCCAAGCGAAAATAAAGTAAGAAAAAAAGGTGGACCACTTGTAACCATTGATCGCCATAGCAACAACCATATGAACTATCATGGTTGTGATATGGAAAGAACATTGTGGTAACAAGGACCATGGGAAATAGCTAATACCCCATTGTACAGAACATTTTATTTTATTTTCAGGAAGGCTACTCTAAAATATAGTAGAAATATTTTACATGTAAAGTCGCTTATTTTTGTTGCTGTAAATTTTCGCGATAATTTGAAATATTTCTTGAGAACAAAATTTTGCTGTGAAATGTTAGGAATTTCAAGTTTTTCTTGATTTTTGCTTTGTGCAAGATTAAAACTTTTTGAAAATTTTTGTTCTTTCTTTGTTTTTTAGAATTGGCCTAAATTTGGTCAGTCTCAGAATGACAAACCTGGTCCAAATCCAGCCACGACTGCAATAGCTGAAGATGTATTTATGGCCTTCAGCACAACTAAAGAAGTGAGTACGACATGGAATGTACATTTTGAACAAAAATCACATCAGAACAAATTTGTACAACTTGTAAAGTATAAATGCACCTCTATTGGAGATGTGATTCTACAGTAAAATACATAAATTATTTTAGCTAGAATGAATTTTTGCTGAAGACTTTTGGAGCATTCTGTATCGAAAAAAGGAAACTGTAAAGGGGTTAATTATTCACTGGGTTTTAATTTTGCTTATTTCGCTGACTGGAAAATGCGTTAAATTAAAACCCAGTCAATATGTAAAATTTAGCATAGAACACATTATCTAAATGATAAAACTGTGAATTTAAAACCCACTGAATATGCCTGAAATGTTAAATCAGCTGGACTTTATTTTCACTGAATTTTACAGTAATGGAGCAAATATAGTATAGCAGACAGATATAACACACTAGATCATCTATTTACAATGTTCAATATCAATCATGTTTATTTAGGAAACGTTGAACCAAACTGAAGAAGATCCATTAAAAAAACTTGGCCAGCAAAGGATAGTGCAGTGTCGTGTCTGCAAAGGTGACCATTGGACTACCAAATGTCCTTATAAGGATACCTTAGAACCGCTACAAAAGGAAGAGGAAGACAAAACTAAAGGTATATTCGTTACTAGTGTACTTCCCCTGCCATAAACCCAGGGGTCTCAACATGTAAAATCGGGCAAAGTAAGGGATGGGCTTATACCAGAGGACCACCTCAGAAAAGATGATTTTTTGGGGGGTTTAACATTATAACCATCTTCCCAATTATCCAAATTACATCTTTCGTTCACCACGCTTGGTGGAATACAGCTTTTTAAAAACAAAATAGACCATTTTTCGTTCACTGCGAGAATCACGCGTTATGCGTGAAATCGAACGTAAAAACAGGACAAACAAAGGTCATAGCGTCGTAGTCGCGTCAAACATCGCGTGGGATTCGACAAACGCGAAAGTATTTTGGGGGGACATTTCCATGCTTAATAATGTGCTGTCCACATTTGATGATAGGCAATTTCGATTAAGTAAGGGTATTCGGAAGCAATATTCCTCTGTCGAAGATCGGCCGCTCGGTGTGAGCTACGAAATAAGGAAATTCGAGTTCAAAATCAAATCGTTCGATTTTTGCGGCAGACGCTAGACGCGCGTCTTTCATGCATCTCGCAAGATCTCGCAATTGTACGGAAAATCACCTATTGCGAAATGAGTCATCATTGATTTCTGACATTCTACAATAAAGAAACAAACGTGTTCATAAAAATACATGAATTTTATTGCAGTACAATTTACATACATGCACGTGACCATCTGAATTTACGGTGTAAAAATGGCTTGGGTTTGTGGGAAAATAGTCAAAGGCATGATTTTTATCATCTTTGTTGTGTTGTGTTCAATTGTACACAAACTCTCCATGCAAAACAATTTCTGCCATGATGTCTTTCAGCACTAACAGGTCAAGTCCTTCATTAACTAATCAAAATACTGTGTTATACTGATGAAGTAGTAGTAGTAGTAGTAGTCCAGAGTTTTAAATCCGGTTTGGTCTCCGAAGACGAGGGTGGCCGGATTCACCTTAAACTAGTGGCAATAATGGTTGTAACTGCCATTTAAGTTTTTTTTGGAGCATGAGATAATTGGCCGGATGCCCTTCCTGACACCAATCCACTGTTTCGGCAGTGGGCCTAGCCTTTGAGGGAAATGTTTTCGTAATGCGGTAGTGAATCACGGCAATGTTAAAATGTTAGTACTGTATGCCCTCAACTCGTTGAATGTCTAAAAATAGAGGGGTGATCTTATGCAATGCAAGTTTAATATGTAATTATTATAAATTGTAATTACTTTGTAGCTGCCAAGCCAGAACCACCCAAACCAGATGGAAAGACTGGTAAATATGTGCCACCTAGTATGAGAGATGGTGCTGGGAGAGGACGTGGAGAATCTATGCAGCCACGTAGAGGTAATGATTGTCATTTCTGCACTCTTAGTTAATGTAATGTATTTAAATAATATCACGTGCTTGTGAGGGTAAATTTCACGATTTGTTGCCTGCCCAAGGGATGGTGGTCATAACCATAATATTGATGATGGCAGTAGTTTCAGTGACGTCATGTAATATACCCATGTCATATCCATTTTTATTTGATGTCATGTGACAGAGTCTCGACCAATCACAGCATGCGTGACAGCAGTGAGATGTGATAAACATGCTTACATGTATATTGCTACATGCTATTTTAGCAAATTTGATTAATTGCATGAATTAACAGAATTTGTATTTAATTTGGCTAAATTCGTTAAAATAACATGGTAGCTAAAAAGTCCTGATATAGTGGTTACCAGCGTCCATTTGTATGAAGTCGTACATTGCATCAAGAGCACCATTGCAGATAAAGACATTCACAGTGTTATATTGAAGACATTGCACACTAGATCAACTCAACATATTTAATGACCATGTGAGCTTCATTAGAAATACATAAAGATAATAATAATAGTAATAATAATAACTTTATTGACATTATTCATTTTGAATAGAACATAGTCAAATACTCTTCTAAGAAACAAAGCAAAAATAACAATAGATGAAAATAAATATACTGTTGACACTGGTTTAGAAAATCGCACTTTCGTTAATATAAATTGCCAGTTCTATATGTATGTTGCCCATAATATATATAAACTTTGCTTCGTTATCTAACATATTGAAATGATGATTTGAGGTTTGTGCTGATTGAAATCTTGCTTCTTTGTGATGTGGACAATCAATCAGAAAGTAAAATTCATCCTCAACTTTATGAGTACCACACCTTTCACACATTCTATCATCTACTTTTGTTTTTGGTCTTGTATGACGACCTTTCTCTATCATTAAATTATGATCACTAATTCTGAGTTTGCATACATATTTTCTATAAATTGAATTTTTGACTCCCGTGTGCGAAGCGCAAAAAGGGAGTCTTTGCAGTTAGTGTGTCTGTATGTGTGTTTGTGTGTGGGTGGGGGTGTGTGTGTGTGTGTGTGTGTGCGTGTGTGTGTCCGTCTGTTCCACTGATATCTCAAGAACCATACATCAGTTTTTGATGAAACTTGGTGCATAGATGCTCTGGGCCAATGCGCAGATTTGATTAGGTTTTGGTAAAAATCCATGCATATTAATTACCTAATTTGCATGATAATTAGCTGATTTTTAGCTGTTCCATGACTGTTCCACTGATATCTAAAGAACCACTCATTGGATTTTGATGAAACTTGGCACACAGATGCTCCAAACTAATGCACAGATTTGATTAGTTTTGGGTAAAAATTTGTACAATATTAATTACCTAATTTGCATAATGATTAATCAATTTTCGGCTTTTCCACTTATATCTCAAGTACTAATCATCATATTTCAATAAAACTTATTACATAGATGTCATAGGACACTGCACAGACCTGATAGTTTTTAATGTAATATCAGTATATATTAATTAGCTAATTTGCATAATTAATTTTCAGCTTTTGATATTTCAAGTAGTAATCATCACATTTCAATGACACTTGATACATAGATGTCATAGGACACTGCACAGACCTGATAGTTTTTAATGTAATATCAGTATATATTAATTAGCTAATTTGCATAATTAATTAATTTTCAGCTTTTGATATTTCAAGTAGTAATCATCACATTTCAATGACACTTGGTACATAGATGTCATAGGACACTGCACAGACCTGATAGTTTTTAGGGTAATATGAGTACATATTAATTACCTAATTTGCATAATTAATTAATTTTCAGCTTTTGATATTTCAAGTAGTAATCACATTTCAATGAAATTTGGTACATAGATGTCATAGGACACTGCACAGACCTGATAGTTTTTAGGGTAATATCAGTATATATTAATTAGCTAATTTGCATAATTAATTAATTTTCAGGTTTTGATATTTCAAGTAGTAATCATTACATTTCAATGAGACTTGCTACATAGATCTTCTAGGATTATGCAGACACCTGATTAGTTTTAATTGGATATTAATTACCTAATTTGCATGATGTTCCACTGATATATAAACAACCACAAATTGGATTTTAATGAAACTTTTAAAGAGAACTATGCAGAAACCCAATTAGTTTTTGGTAAATATTTATGCTTATTAATCACCTAATTAACATAATTAATTAACACTGATATCTCAATTACTGATCATCACATTTGAATAAAATTTGGTACATAAATGCTCTAGGACAATAGACAGGCCTGATTAATTTTGATTAATATTAATTCTCTAATTAGCATAATAATTCATAATTTTTTTGTTCTGTTCTGTTCATATTAGTTACCTGATTTACATAATTAGTTTTCAGCTTTTCCATCAATATCTCATGTACAAGTAATTTTGAATTAATTTTTAATGTGTCTTCAATACTCTCAGCACACGGGAGTTCTTTCTAAGCTTCTTTGATTAATTTTTGTCAATTACTGCTCTGTTTTAAATTCTTTCTTGAATTTACAGTACGTTATCATATCTGGATGTATATCTGGAACACTGTTGCAAATTCAACCAATGCATCTCTGATGGTGTTTTTGTTATTAAACACATACATACATGTATGTACCTTTCTTATAAGTTGCACCACCTAGTGATGATGCACGTCTACGTTTTGTATGACGTAAATGGGTGAATGAAAGGCCATGCAAATCATTAATGATTAGAAACGTGATCATCAAATATGTTTTCCCGTTGTAAATGATGAATGACTTGAATCAGATGAAAAGTTGACTTTGTCATCATTAGAGGACACAACATGTAGGGATGTTGAATTGAGCAGAAGATTGTTATGAACAAAATGGTGAAAATAGTGACAATTTATGAATTATATTTGTGACATTCATTCCGTGAAAATTGTATGCAGGGTATACCGGTATACATATGTTTGTCACCATATCTGTAAATGACAGCTATGGTCAAAATAGGTAATATTTTAATGATTCACTATACAACAAATGCAAAATTGTTATTCATATGGGCTTCTAAAAGTGTGATTTTTGATGTACATGTATGTATCACTGTGATTGGCCTACACCATGACAGTATGGCTACCTTGGGTTGTGCATGTCATACATCAAAACAGTAAAGACAGTTCTAAAAATAAAATGATCTTTTGCACATTTTGCATGTCATGCAATGAGATGTGTATAGTGGTATGATGGTGTGAATGTTTTAAGACCAAAAAGAACAGTCGTGTGTTCCTGCGACACAAAATATCAAAGTGGAACCGTTCATGTAGAGGGGTCTGTCACTACTGCATACCCAGATATTATGGCTGGTATTATGGCTTGTACATACACCCAGAAACTCACTAGTACTTGAAATACCATAACTGCAAGGACCTATCTACAGATACATACACCCAGAAACTCGCTGGTACTTGAAGTGCCATAACTGCAAATGTTACTTGTGTATTTATCATCATTTAATATATTTCAGATGAGGGCGCTACAATCCGTGTTACCAACCTTTCTGAAGATACTCGTGAATCTGATTTACAAGAATTATTCAGACCATTTGGTACAATATCCAGAATATACTTGGCTAAAGATAAAGTCACTGGTCAATCAAAGGTCAGTATTTTGGTTATAATTTGAAATGTTTGAATTT